CTCCAAACGGAGATCGTCTCCTAACGGGAGGACCAGGAGCACCAGGTTTCTGGGCTCTCTCCCTGGACTGAGATCGTTCGTAAAAGTCTTTGTGCATATTGACCTGATTCTTACGAACCCTCCAGCGGTCAATTTCGTTCTTGCAACGAGCACGAAGCCATTCATAGCTACAAACATCAGGGTTGGATATGTTCCTATCCCATTCCCTGATATCATGAGCCAAACAGTTGAGGTGTCTAACCTTCTCACTGAATAGCGACCGCTTTACCTGTTCGGTCAGCGGTTCATCGAGACCCGCAAGGATGTGATCCCACTTCGCGATGAACCTTTCAAGTCGCTCCTCTTCAGTATAGAAAGATGACACACTGCATCGCAAGTTTGAGAGCTCGATTATCCTGAACGATTGCTCTCCGATATTCGCAGTCCTTAAGTGGTCGTATAAGAGCCACAGGATCTGCCTACTCTTGATGCGATTGTTGGAGCGTTGAGCGGCTTCGGTGAGACGATTAATCTTATCGATAATTGCAACAGTCTTGATGCACTTCCGAATGGCTGCATTGAACCTGGCTTCAAGGATGTGGTATTTACATTCCCCATCCAGTTCATCAAAGGTCTTTGCCTTCTCGACTTCAGTTAGCCAATTGATGACGTAAAGTCCATCATAGCTGTAGGCATTGCTAACAGCTTCCTTCATATTGGCTATCCATACCCTCAGCCCAGCCGCGTCGGGCTCTGGCGGGAGGTCTATGGAAATGCACTTAGTCGCAGCTGTACAGTTCGGATCATGATGGCTACTGTACCCGCCGCCACCAGTTCCGAAAAGATGCTGTGGAACCTGAGAGCTACCGATTGACAATGCACACACAGGACAAAGGCGTGTAGCCTTCGGAATGCAAATCTCACATGCCCTTTTCATGCATATCTTACATTCCTCAATTTTACTGGGATCAGGAATATCCCGATCACACATCCGACATTTCTTGTCAGGAGGATCGGGGCCACGCATGGTCGGCGGCTCAAGGCCTGAAGGATCCTTCGGCCTTGCACCGTTGGGATCGAATCCTGGATAATATCCGGTTTCACGTTTATCCAGGGGTACGGGTTGCGTAGCCTTCGGAGGACTCTGAAGGTTAGCCGCACCGGGCTGACCCCCAGTTGGGGTGTCACGGAATCTGTCAACGGGTGGCCGCAGAGGCGGCGAGAACGACCGCGTCGGGTTCGTCTCAGGTATGCCTCCAGGCGACCTATTCCTGACACGGTTACCATCGGGATCCCTTCTTCGCCTAGTCTCGTCCCTAAGGCACGCGAGACAACAGGGACCCTGGACAAATCCAAATCTCCTGTAGTCATCCTGCCCAGCAGAATGTCTGGTGCAGTAGTAGGTCTTACAAAATTGACACTCAATTCCCTTGGTCAGGAACGAGCTCTCCCTACAGACTCCGCATCGGGGTCCGTTACGGGAACATTCTTCACACAGGTTCTCTTTAAATGAGAAACAATACTCACAAATATTACCTCTGCATCCCTTGCAGTGAAACTCAGCCACGAGATGATTATACCCATCACCTACATATTTACACCTGGGTTTACAGGGCTGCCAGGGTTCCCACCGGCAGCACTCTTCTTCCCCCCTCCTCCTGGGCTTTGCCAATCTGGAGGAGGAGGTGGTGGAGGATCACCATCAGGAGGGCCAGGTGGAGGTGGCCGCTTATCCGGAGTACGGGACGCGGCTCGCCTTCCTCCTGTGTGATCGTTCAATCCACTACTTGAGGCCTGGTTCGAGTGCCTTGACTCGAGGGAGTTAATTCTCTGGGCCGTATTACCCAGCACCTCGAGCATTTGCTCGAGCTTACTGTTGAGCGTAGTCGAAACGGCCATGTTATGAGTATTCTGCTTGTCCGTGTAGGATTTGCAGTCCCTTGACTTCATCTCAAGGTTGGCTTGTGTCTCATAAAGTTGGTCTTTAACCCACTTTATGCCGTCCCTATTGTTGGTCCAGCGTTGTTCGACATCTTGCATCATCCTATCAATCTGACATACCCTAGTGGACAGGTCCTCGATTTTGAGGTTCACTCCACCAATAGCAGGATGGTTGGATTGGCTCTCCACTAGAGATCTCTCGATCATATCAACACGAGCTATAAGCCCGGTTACTCGATCAGAAAGAGATTCAAAAACAGTTTGAACCTGGGTGATGGAGCGAGCAACATCATCGTAGCTGGCTCGCTCGTTTAGGGCATCGCCTATGCTTATCATGCGATCGGCAACGATCTTGACGCGTTGGCCAAGCTCGGTCACGATGTCCTTAGTCCCTTGTGATAGCTGCATGGCCGCGTTCGCAGCCTGCGTACACGTGCCACTCATATGGACGCATTGGTCGTATTTGGCCCTCCACGAGCTAACCTCAGTGGAGAGCTGCTTGATGCATTGATCACTTCTATCATTCCTACGACCAAGGTCTTCGACCTTAGCAACCAGGCGATGAATAATCGCACTTACCGAAGAGTCCACTCTCCCTCTTTCAAGGGCTGTTACAAGATCAGCAACCTCGTTGGGTTGCTCCTCACTCGTAGGACCAAATCCTGATCCGCGATCTCGAGGAGTGGACAAATCAACCATGATTGGATTAGATCTCGGAGGAGTTCTGAAATCATCCTGCACGGCCGTTGATGGCCGTGGAAACTCACTCCGATTAGGAGATTGACTCTGATACGGAGCAGATCTCCTAGCATCACGAACCGCAGAGGGTTGTGTCATGCCCAGGCCTTTGGCCACGGGCAGTTTAGGAACAACAGGCCTATCCATTCGCATAGGAACATCAGGTCTCGAGTCAGCAATAACAATGTCATTCAAGTCGGTCGCATTGGACACTCTAGACTCAGACATCGATTCAATATCAGTTGCATTACTGATGGTATGATTGCGACTAGAACTTGATGCCATCATGGATTCAGATTCTATCGGAACATTAGCTCCGTCCATGTCGTCTAGGGCGAAAATGGAAGCCGCGTTGGGCGTAGGGCGAACACCTTGTGCGCTCATGCCACTTGACCTATTAAATTCCTCCTGGAATGCTTCGATTCCATCAAGCACGTTAACGAGTGTGTCCGCGTTTAGCGGGTCTCTACCAATGATTGACGCTGGATCACCTGATCGACCGCGTCCTGAGTCCCGCGCACTGGGGTTACCCCTGTGGGCGGTTTCCCGATCCATCCCCCTTGCCCTATGCGATCCAGTCGAATTTGATCTTGATCGTTTGCTCGGGGTCGGACTGGGATGCAAATCCAATCTATCTACGATATTACGCTCCCTAGGGCTCTCAAATCCTGAAAGTCCTGGGGGAGGAGACATGTTCCTCATGGTCGGGTTTACCGACGGTCTTGGCCTGACGTTACGGCTGGCCACATCAGGATTGAGATTCTCAATCGACAAAGGTAGCATGAAATCATCACTTCCAGCAGCTCGTTTTGGGCTTTGGAAATGCGGGAAAGATGACGGGGCGGGTGGCCCTGGCATCCATGCGGCAAAATCCATACCAAAAATGTTTCCGTCGTTGGGCCATGAGGCTCTCCAATCGAGCCCACCGGACTCGGTCGGCAGATGAACATCAAATGCAACTCCACTCGATGTACCAGGTTCGGGATTACCGAGCACTTGAAAAGCTATGCTACTGGTTGGCACAGGTCTACTGCTACCTCGAGAATCACGAAACTCGGACTGACCAATATTCATCAGCTCCGGGAAAGATGAGGATTGAGCTCCAGGTGCAATACCGGGCTCGTCATCATCACGTCCTGAGACGGAATCATCATGGTCAGGACGATTAGCCCCATGACCCTGAGAGCGATTAGCTCTTGAGGCATTAGACGATAGGTCATCAGTGCGAGTAGCACTGGACCTTCCTGAAGGCATTGCTTCGGAAAAAGTGTGGTCCGACAAAAAGTCAGGACCGGAAAAAATCGGCTGTCCGGGCACTTGGTCGTCATTCACAACGTCCAAGATTCCGGCCTGGCCGAGAACCCATTCATCAGTCACCACGTGAGGTCCATCCTCAGTGATTCCTGCCATCGTATATACAATAACCTACAGCGCCTGCAGGGTTGTTAAAAGGGGTTCGCGGTGCCAACCGAGGACCAATCCTACGGCTGATAACCTGCGAAAGGGTTTGAAACAAAGTTTCGGGATGGATAAAACAGGCCCTAACCCACCAACAAGAAGAGACCACCTTATCCCCCCGGTCCCAAGGGCAAAGCGGTTGCCCTCGGCCGGCACAAACACGAACCAAAAGGGTGCCAGTTGAACAAACAGAAGAATGAGCCCAGCAAGGGCAGACAGCGAGCGGAGGCAGAGCAGCAGCACCAACGCAGGCGAGCGGGCAAGCACAGCGAGCAAGCAAGCAAACAACACGCACACCACCAAACCCCAATCCGACCTGCTCCACCCAGAAGCCCACCGCAGCAGCGTCAGCCCGTCCTTTTTCAGGTGCGGGATGACGTGCCGCGCCGCGGGTTATGAGCGACGAAACAGCAAACGGGGATTGACGCAGTGAAAAGCTTGAGCCAAACGGCGCATTGGCCGTGGCATGGAAACATGCTATGATAAAACTACATGCCCCCCAAAAACAGAAAGAATTGAAAAGTGTAATTTATTTTGGCTTCCCCTTAATACCAATTTTCGGCATTGTGTTGGGCTTCCGGCGCTCGCTGCTTCTTTTTTCGTTCGAGCGAGGCCAAAACTCGCAACGTTTGGGAGCAAAACCGATGAGTTGCGCACCTACTAAACACGAACAGAACCAAGAACCTAAAATCTCGAAAACATGGCAACAATGAAGAGACGGTTTGCCCTCTTTAAAGAAGGTTGTGAATGCATGAAATACAGAAGTTTGAGCGGACACACACCCTCCCAACCCCATCCAACTGATCGTGTCTCCACATGAGAAAGTGACTCAACAACACGCCCATATTCTTCGTCACCTGGTTCACACTGCCCAAGGCTGCCACGCATTGTAGGTGTAGATGTCCTCAGTCAGTCCTGGGCAAGCCAACCTTACGTGTTCTCGGAATGCTCGGGGCTGCGGGAAAGATACCCAAAAGCCTCTGACTGATTCAAACGGGTGATCAATCTTCCACTGAGGGCCCCCAGGATTGATCATGGGTAACTTTCCAATGTGGGATATATATTTTGTCTTCGTGGTTTTCCTTGCCTGGTCATCCCACCGTATTTCACACCGTTTGTTCAACCTCCAATTGCTTGAACTTCCAAACCTCAAGGGCTGCCATGCTAAGACGAAGGGCGCTTGGTGAGCATCGTTCCAAGTGATCTGAACAGCTTTCGGAATGAGGGTGGATGGACAGAGTTCTGCACACGAACCCTGGACAAAACCACCTACCAACTGGTGCAGGAGCTTGCTCAAAACACAAAACATGCCATTGGTTGCGATCTCCTCCAGATCCGAGCCTAACAAGACCTTCCGTTCTGTCCTCTCTCCCGTAGCTTCTGGCGAAGAGGACCAGCATCGTCGCAGGCGCTAATGGCGGTGTTGTACCTGGGCGCTGGAAATGTGAGAGACAAACTTTGATACCTCCAACGGGACCTGGGCAAAATAAGAAAGCCCCTGACGTTTTATGGGACGTTGACTTGCTCACGATGTCCTACCCAACGCAAAAGCCTACGATATTGTTTTGACTTTTACCAATAACATGTGTGGTAGCACGGAATATCTACGGAAAACCTCGAAACTCCCCGGGATCATTCGATCGCATCAGGGTGCTTGCTTGGCAAAGATGCTACCAGGCGCTGGCTGATCAGCTACTTTCAGCGCTTAGGCCCTAGGCAAGCAACTGTAGCCGCTGGGTCCGTGCAAGATGGGTTCGTCTTAAATTGGGATTCATCAGAACGCAGGAGCAGTGAACTGTTGACTCACCAAACCCAGGCACAACCCCCTATTAATAAACTGGGGTTATATGGGGTCAAGATTAGTGACACTGGCCCCATTTGCCAAGTCATCTGTAATATTACTTCTTGGCCGTACCATCTGAACTGCTTCGGGAAGCAGAATCCCAAAACGAGTTCCGCAAAGCGTAACACAGACACAACTGCAAGGCCGCAAGATTGCTTTGGGAACAAAGCTTTTGCATTAACTTTGAACCCCCATATTGGTGAATACCCCCAGCACATTCTTTGCTTGTCTCTTCTATTTCTCTCTCTGTCTCTCTCTCTCTCTCTCTCTCTATGTCTTTCTTTCTTTGTATCCATCTATTCATCTCTGCTGCCTCTTCTGTCATTCCTTTCTTCCGTCTTTCCTTCCTTCTTTCCTTCCTTCCTTGCTTTGTCTCTACTGTTTGTATTGATTGATCTCTTTATTTGCCTCGTTTCATCCTTGCTGTCCTGATTTTGTTTTGGTTTCTTGTCTTTCGCTACTGCTTTCCTTGGGTTCTTCCCATCTTTGCTTTCAACATGTTTGATTTACCTACCAACTCAGTTCCTTCCACTGCTATAAGGAACTTATTCCTCCTTCTCCATCTATCCTTGGCCCAACTTTTCAGCTTCCCACAAATTGGTGGTTTGGATTGGTGCTTTGTTGCTTACGTTACGGAGGGGTGGAGGGGTTTCCTATTTACCCTTCACGCCAACCAAGAAACCAAGAATCCAAACTAGCAATTTGGGATTACCTGCACTTTGGCATGTGGAGTACACCTAAAGAAGCAAACACGTTATTGACTTGAGTCAGGCACTGAAACCTGGTCCCGCTTCCAAGTGGGCCTGCGCGCGTTCCACGGTTGCTTTTGCATGGTAAAAGCCGTTCTAAATGTCTGTCCTCATCATCCGAATCCAACTCCGGCATCTCCTGCTCGAGGAAGTTACTTTGTTGCCCGAAGGACTTGGACATAAAAGGTGATCACCTTTTGTGGCATAGTAGAAATGGACCAAACATCAGAAAACCGAAAGGTCATTTCAGGTCGATTCGCTTTGGGCAACTTCGAGAAAGTAGTAGTCCTCATTAGAACGTGACATGGCTTGGGTCAAAAACAGGTACCCAAAATGTATCCCTGGTAAACAAATCATGGACTAAACCCTGCGGTCCATATCCTGGTGGTTTAATTTTGACCCATCCCCAAGATAGCAAGTTGTTCGTGACCTGGGTTCACAACCCACTCATAAGTCCCCTGTTTAGTGGAACTAACCATACCCACATCTTTGGAGACAGCTCGCTCTACGGGCCGGGCGTGATGAGGTTCGGCGCCACCTGCACCTCGCCCATCCAGGCCAGCAGTGCCGCGACCGGGCCTCCCGAATCATCTGAATTCAATTGGCCCAGGTGACCTGTGAAAACTCATGGCTGTGCCTCAAAAAACCTGTACCAAAATGGAACCTAAGTGGAAACATGGACCAAAACCTGGCGGCTTGCCCCTCCTGTTTAATTTTGAGCCACAGCCACTCTTGGTGGGCAAGATTGCACACCCCAGGCGGACTTTGCGGGATGCTCCAACTGCAAGGAGCTACCATGATTCACCATAAATGGGTGTGTCCCTGCATGCTTCACAAAGGGATATGTTTGATTCTCGTCCATACTGAGTGTGACATTCAAGAAAACCCAACGGGACATTGTCCCACGTTTTTTGTGGGACATGTTCGTCATAAAGCCAATAGTAAGCTACCATGATGTTCTTAGTAGAACATAAGTGCAACTTTCCCAGCAGCAGCGGAGCCCTCCTTTTGAACCCTCCCTGAAAGACCCCCCAAACCACCCCGAACAAACCTATATGAGCCTATCAACCTCATAGCTGGAAAGCTGTTGGGGAGAAACAATGCCTGGGTTCATACAACCACTTTCCAAATTGTCATGATTTACACTGGTTCCTTACCATTCTTTTAGAAGGGCTTGAACCCTGGGGCCAAGCTGACAAGGCTGGCTCCGCATTTGGTGCACCTCTGTAGATGTTAAAACTCAACGAACATGACTTGAAATGACTTAAGCAGAAGCCCAGTTAGTAGAAGCACCCACCGCTAAAGAGTGTCTTTAGTTCTAAAGCGGTTCCTACAACCACCTAGCAAACGTCTGCAAAAATTGGGGTTCCACCTGAGTGTTTTTTTTGTGGGTACCCTGTTTTAGGTGGGTTAAAAGGGAAGCTAAAAGGAACACTTGTTCATCTCCTCCCCATTTTGAGACACACCCATCGGTCTATGGAGGTGCCCTTTTGGGGTTGGCTAGGAAACCAAAAGACCCATGACACATTTCAGGCTTGGTATTTTGAGACAAACCCCTAGGCATCTGTGTTTTTTTTTGTTGACATTTGGGGCTGTACCTTTTGGTTTCCCTTTAAAACCTCCCCCGGAAAAGAAAGAAGCTCACCTGACAACCAACGTCGACGTCGCGGTCGCCGCCTGCCTTCGGCTCGCTGCTTCTGGCAGCTGCTCAACGCCGCGTTGAAGCTCACCACGTTGGGGACGACCTGGTGGAGTCGAGCTCACGGGCGGCTGGAATCGGACCGGGACGCCAACGGTTCTTTCTTTGGCTGTCCAAAACGCCAACCAAAACGAAATACTAGCTCAACCAAAAGAGAAACAAAAAGCCAGCTTTTTTCAATCGGACCATATCTTACCCCCAAGAAACCACCGTAAATGGGCGAAAGAGATTAAAGGCAAAGGAACCAAATAGGGACCCCTGCCTGTTGAAACACTGCAGGATGTGTTCTGGAAGTTACATCGAGAGGCATAGGGAGGTTCCCTATTGATTCATTTAAACAAAAAACACGAGTATCCATGTGCTCGGTGTTAGATACTACGCCGCTGCAGCTTGGTTAAGGGGGACACAACACTCCCAAGCGGGTAGTAGGTTTATAACCCTCAATTATCTTCAACCAATAGGCGGCCAAGTAGGCGTGGACAAACATGTGTTTTGCTCATCCCCTTTGGGACTATATAATTGTGGGGCAATCAGGCCGTTAAGCGGTTGATGTCCATCCCGAAAGATACGTCCCAAACAAAACAGGAGGAGGTTCCTGACACAAAATAGAAAGCCATATTCAAGAGACCTAGGCATTTCTCACGCAGCAGGTGCCATGCACGTTGGAAGACCGAGTTGCTACAATGAGTCATCCTTCCACACAAGGATGGATGCATTCCTCAGGGCGCTGATGACTGAAGTGACTGAAGGAAACGTGGGCATCCTGAATCGCTCCAGTCGGCCAAAGAAAAGATTGACACTATGTGCAAAGACCTCGTGGCGCTTCGCCTGGTGCTCCAACATCTCTGAAAGCAGCGCGAAGGCTCGGGGCCAGTCCTGGCGATATGCGACAGGCCTTGGGCACGGCCTTGGAGTCAAATAGTCGATCATGAATGGGTGTGGGTCGAAAATAGGTACCCTCCCATCAATTGACATGGAACCTAAAGGGGGTCCCTTTAAAAGGAAATTGTCTTCCAGGACGCCTGTTAGATTCCATGTTAATTCGTGGGAGGGTACTCAAATGGCTTTCCCCTAGTGGTTTAATCAATGTTGACCCATACCAGTATTGAGAGCCTCAAGCACCTTTTTTTGCGAACCTGACCCTGGTTGCGCCCTCTTTGGGGAAGGGCATGTCATCTTGCACTTCAAGCAAGCTCCACACGTTGTTTGATCATGGTGCATCCGTGATTGGCACTGGGTTTCCCTCTTTGGCTGCCGAAAAGGAACAAACAAAAACACACAAATAGGACATGACTGTGACTGTTTTTGTTCTTGCGAGCCTTGGTAAGAATCACGAGGAACAACACGCGAGAATGCTGTCAAGGCCTCACAGTCAATATCAGCAATGGGTTCGACCTGGTTCAAAAGTGGTGCAAGAGTTCGCCCATCCACGGTTTATAACTCCCTTACAAACACAAATCGGCCAAGGGTGTGGGTTTGGCGGCAAAACGGCTTGCCCTTTCTTGGTTGCTGTCACTGTCGACCCCTCTGCAAAAAGTTTCTCTTTTGTGTGGATCCAATGGAAAATCAACAAAGATGCAAGCAAAAAGTTTAAGTCCAAAGATCCTAACCACATCCCAAAAGCAACCCTAAAGGCATCATTTTCCCAGCAGCGAACCCAACACAAATCAGCTCCAAGCCAACCCCAAATCCACCTCAAGTCAACCCTAAACCCGTCCAACAGCAGCCTGGACGTCAGCCCTAAAATCAATCCCAAACCACCACAAGACCCGCCCTAATGAAGATCTAAGCCAGCCTTAACCCCCCTTAGCTTAAACCAGCCCCCAGCGACTCCCAACTGCCTTCAAATCAGAGCCAATAAACAACTCCCTGGCCAATGGTGATGCCGTCGATGCGGCAAGGCAACCGACCAACCAACCGACCAACCAACCAACCAACCAGCCCTAGTAGACAAACCAGCCCTAGGACATTCAAAAACACTGGATCCTTCAACCATCTTTCTTAAACCAAAAAAGCCGCTTGGGATTTGGTTGTTGACAGGAAGCGCTTGGGATTTTGCTTGCTGCTAGGCAAAGATTGTTCTTTTTGGAAAGAACTTCTGCTAGGTCCTCCAGCAGAGAGGTTAGAAGAAGGGTACCCTTTTTCTGTAGTCTTTTTTAGTAGGGGAACCCTCCCAACCAAAAAGGAAACGGGTGAGAAGGGCACTACTGGGGGACCTAGTCTAGGCTTGCTTAATGCGTGTATCTGTGTCTTCGTTTGGAAATACTCCTCGGGTTCCTGAAGGCAAACTAGGAAGAACACCCACCTTGACTCCAGGGGTTGATTCCTTTCCATTCCTTTTCCATTCTTTTTCATGCTCGTGTGTTGGATGCCAGATTTCAGGCTCCCAAGTGCTGGGGCGTACTTTTGAGCAACCAGCAAGAATCTAGGGGGGATTCCTTGTCCATTCTTTTCAATCATCCTTATTTTCAAAAACTGGATCCGTTTTCAACCCGGGTTTCTGGAAGTTAACCTGCCGTTTTGAACCTGGGTTTCTGGAAGTTCTCTGGAAAGAAGGATCTCTGGGTTAAGACAGGGAAAGGTAGGCGCAGGATTAATAAACCCGTGTGTTCCCTCCAAAAAGTGGTTTGAGTCCCCACTAAAAGGGGACACCCCCCTATTAATCAACCAAGGGTTTATTAATCCGGGGTTCACATTATATATATATATATAGATGTGGGGACGGCTCCCAGTCATCCACGTGGGGTGACCCCGGCCGTCGCTTTCGACAAGGGCCTCGCAGGCGCTGAGCACGGTGCTGTAGGACACGACGTCTGGGAAAAGCGAGCACCTCGTCGGAGCGCCGCCAGGGGTTAAGCCTACTTGAGTTCCTCTTGGTTGAGAAAAAAACAAAAGGGGCATCTCGTGTTTCCTTGTTTCGGGCCTCAGGCCACATGCAGCGAGTGCAGCGAATTGGCCTGCGACCCCTGATCAAGCGGCGAAATCTGGGCAATTTTCGGTGCAACGCACCACGGCCTGGTAACTATCGAGAAGTCCCTCCGCGACCTCCTACATAGGCAGGCTTGCACGCGTCTAACAGGCAGCCATCCCCTGGCTACTCCTTCAGACGTGCTGGAGCTTACCAACCTTATCGGGGATGTTTCAACCGAGAGCCAGGTGGGCTGAATGGCATCCTGTCCCCAACTGTGCAAAATCTTATGGGCGACGATGCCCCTTTGCATGCGGCAGAGCCAGCGCAGGACGGTCAGCTTCCATATGCTCGGGATCTCAGCAAACAGTTTTGTCAAAAGGCGATGCCCAACCTCAACCTGGCGCCGCTCCCTGGCTGTGAGATGCGGCAAGCACCACGGTTGCTGCCCTCAACGGAGAGGCCTAGGGCCTCTGTCAAGGATCCGCTGGTGTGCCCAAGGACATGTCTCGCATGGTGGACCTGCTTGCACCGCCAGGATTCTGCCATCAACTGCAAGTGTAACCAGCTTGCGCACCAGGCTGGGGTTGCCCAAGTCACCACAAATGGCGGCTATGCACAATATCCCCAAAAACACACACTCATATGAGTCACAATGACCCCCCCCCCAAAAAAAAAACAAACAAACAATGACTACCCAAATCCATGCAAGGAAATCAAAAGTCGACTTACCAACCTCCAACTAATCGGGTTTTGATGGCTCACTTGGGTGATCGATTCGCCAAGTTCAGTGGGGGCAACCCTGCTTTTGGTGGGTTGTACCCTCCCACAATTTACATGGAAGTTCCCAGAAGGCCGATCCTGTAAATGGAACCGAAGTCTTCCGAAGGGGGCCTGGGAGCTTCCATGTTCGCCTGGGGGAGGGTATGACCAAAGTGGCTAACCACGTACTCACTTGTTCGAGCATCCCAGTCTTCTAACTCTTGAAAATTACCCATGCACGAAAGAGGGGTCAACAAGTCGTAACTTGGAACAACCTCACAAGGTTCCAAGGGACCCCTAGGGTTGGATAAGTTCAAGGCCTGTTTCAGGTATGAGGTTGAGAGGTATGAAGAGTATATACCGTTTATTGGGGTAGATACAGCCTTTCAAGCCTGTATTAGTGGTATGCAAGCATCCATGTCCAAGACCCATACCGTGAAATGCCATTGACCAATGCGATAGTGCGTCATGATCATTCTTATTGCTCTTGCAGGGCAGGGATCCGTTGCCAGAAGAAAAAAAAGGTAAGCAGGGTGAAATCCACCTGGTAACACACCCCAGACACTACATGGGTATGTGTATCATTATGCATGGGATTATACAACTACCGGCCCCCAGGTCAGGAGGATCATACCCCCTTACAACCTGATTGAGAGGGCCGAGTATTAGTCATTGTTATTAGGACTTATGCAAAATGGCTTGCCAAACAAATGCAAAAAGGACTTCTCATTCACAAAGAAGAAGGCACAACAAAGCACGTCTTCCCCCAAAATAAGAAACAAGACAACAATGACCAACGTCTTTGAGCGAGAGAAGTTTCAAGAGAAACTCATTCAAGCAGTCAGTGACAAATCCAAATTGTAATTCACTTTCCGAAAATAAAGACTCCACAGGGAACCTTCATGTGTGACGAGCAGGTGAGCTTGTGCTTTCCGCGTTTTGCTTGGCCCAAGGTTCCAGAAACCAGGAAGCCTGCAACTCATCTGTGTTGCCCCCCCCACATGGCCAAGACGTGGTTTGCTCTGTAAGGAGCACCTTAGAGTCAAGTAGGGTTTGTCTCAAAATAGAAATCGGTACCCCATCTTATCCGTTTTGATGAATCGGTTATCTGTTTATATCTGGCATTTCCTGCGTCCAACAATAAATACCTGGAAATCAAGGATCCTACAATCAAATTATGTTTATATTTACTTTAAGATATGAAATACAATGTAAACCTGATAATGATTCTATCCAAAAATCATGTTTCAATATGTGAAGGATGGACGACCAAAAGCAACTGTCCTGTCCATCCTCTTTCCCTGTCCTTCGCCTCACCTTTTCAAAATGGTTTCCGTTTAGGCCCACCCCATTACAGGTGGCCTTCAAACAAAGGGTGCCAAAAGAACAAAAAACTGCAACTGGGCTGTTCCCAAATCCCCTGCTAAAAGTTTAACTTTTAGTGGTTTACAAGTAACCCCTAAAAACCTAAACAAAAACTATGGGCATTTCTATGGACTATGGGCAACACTCCACTAAAATTACAGATTCCCAGAGGATCCATTTCCATTTACCTGTATAGCAGGTAAGGGCTTGCCACCCCAAATCGAAGGCTTACCTACTAGGGCGAAGCGGATTCATGGGATGCACTGGCTTGGAAAGAACCCTTTCAGTCCGAGACATCCCTCAGGCACTCACCTCTTTGACACGCCGAGTAAGGCTAGGCAAGCCTCCCAGCGCCCGGCCTGCCGCGCACATTGCCGCGTTTCTGGACGCCGCTTGGTATCGTTTCAATCCCCCAACAATCCTTCCACACGACCCCTAGTATACCTCTCCTCCAAAACAATCTGAACAACCAACCTAAGCCTATAAGGGTCCCTTACCTTGCGAAGTACCACACCCCTGACTTGACACCTTGGTATGTCAGAAGGTAGTTTGTGGTTCGATTTTGAGACATATCCATATGGGTAGCTCGACTTCTTTTTTTAAGGTTGGACCCCCCCTCGCAAAGAAAATATATGAGTGGGTTGTCCCTGATTTGTCCTGTTGGTTTCCCTAATTTAAACACACCTAACAAAAGACATACCCCAAGAGAGAGAGAGAGAGAGAGAGAGAGAGAGAGAGAGAGAGAGAGACAGAGAGAGAGAGAGCAACGAGCTCGGGTCAGTCATGAGCTTCCAAAACCCGACTTTGGGGGGGCTAAGTCAAGGAAAAGCAACCCTAAAAAGTCGATCCTCATGGGCATCATAGGTGATAACCCCCCTCCCACGCCCCCCCCTAGGTCCACAATGCGGGCTGGCATCCCCAATATGGCGCCAAGGGTTTTCCTTTGGCTTCCCTTTAAGCCAACCCCAAAAAGCCGACCCTCAAAAAAGGGGGTACCCTAAACAACGAAACATAGCCAGGGCTTGTCCCAAAATCGCTAAAATGGGTAGACCTCACGCTGAGGCCGGTTTTCTGGCCTCGGAAAACACCACGCCTTCTCGCAGGCCGCGATGGCAGCATTGCACAGCACCAGGTCCGCTTGGACTCCTAAAGGCCCTTTTTGTGTTCCTGGCTGACCCTGGACTTCGGTCATGACATGAAAAGGATCTGTCATGACCCGCCCTTTTTGCGCCATGGCCGGTGCAAGGAATTAAACATGACAAACTGAATTCTAAGAGCTGGAGCCGCCGTGGGTTTGGCATGAATCCCCCCCAAATGCTGATGTCCACCAAATCGCCCGGGACCCACAACTCACACCCACATTGTACCCTTTTGCAGCTTGTTCCAAAGGGACACCAAGAGGATAATCATGGATTCTGGGGTGGCCACCAGAATTTCAAGGTCGGAACTGCCTTTCCACTTCAGTGGTATGCCGTTTAAGCGACCACCTGAAGTTTCCATGCTTGAAAATGGGGCCATGATCCTTTCTTTGGGTGAGCCTATCTTGAAAGGGTCAGAAGGAGACTCCAGGCACATGGTGCTGTCCTTCTTTCTGAGGCTTTTTGTGGTGGTTCCCTGGAACACATGTCATTTCTCCCCAAAATGGGCACCGCGCAGACACACCATCAGAGCCAATAAACGCAGAATTCAGGGGTCACTCCTCAGCAATCCCAAAAAGAACACTCAAATTGGAATCTCACTTCCGATCGAGTGGAGTGGCACCCAAAACAAAACGTCACCAATTACTTGTTATTTACCACTAAAACGGCCACCAAACACACCAAAAAGTGAGTCAAGTCCAACTCGGGGAGTGGGCTGTCGATAGAAATCACCCAGCTGTGGAAAATGTTGAGCCACACCCAAATTGGAATCGCGCTGTTACTCCCTTGCCCAAAGGATCCGAAAGCAACGGATGATCCCCTTTTTTGAGGGGCCAGTTCAAAAACTGGTTGCCAACATGGGATTAAGTCCAAAGGTCATTTCAGGTCGATTGCACTTTGGGCCAGTGAGTTTTTTGACCACCCGGGATCAATTAACCCGTCCTATTGGTCTTGAATCCTCTGGGCTGTTCTCAGATCCCCTGCTAAAGACATTACAGTAACTTTTCGTGGGTGGAATACGGAAAAAGCAACCACCAAACACCAAGAAGGGTCCTAAACAAAAACTGAGAGGAACCGGACGGCTGCGACACCGGAATCCCCCGGTCTCGCTATGTCTCGCTCGACTCCTGCGCGCTGGAGGACATCTAGCAGCCCAAGGGCCTGGGGATCAGCGATTGACACATCGATGGCCAGAGGCATTGCAATAGCTTCGGGGTGGCAAAATGGGATGGCACAAAGCCAGGCTAAACCCGTGGCTTACCCATCGAGTTCTGACACTAATCTAAAAAGGTTACCTATGATCATGACCCCTTCATTTTGAGTGACCATACTGGAGAGTCCAGGTAGTTCTTTGATTGTGTGTGCTAATATCTTGGTGTCAGTTTGCTTTTTGTTGGCTTGTCAGAAGCAACCCATCCGAAAGGCGTGCCATTTCAGTTGCCCTGTTTGGGGAACTTAGTTAAATAAGTGAACAAAACAACTAAAACTGGGGGTTCCCACAAGAGGTTCACATATTCAAGGGATTTTCCCGCGAGGTACCTCCAAAAACCCTCTCCCTGAAAATGCCAACTTGACTTTTATGCGCCATGGTCAATGTATCAAGGATCCTTTCACAAAGGTCCTTGCCATGGTAGTGACTGGCAGTGGGGTCAACAGAAGTCCCTGACAACCCCAATAATGTCGGAACCACTTGTTTAATTGGGTACGCTTTAACAGAAGTATGTTCCTAATTCAGGATCCTGGGGGTTCGCTTTGATACAAGTTGTTTTCGGAAAACAACAAGACAGGCAAACAAAAACGAGCCCAAACAAATCGGGCAACAAAAGCGGGCAAACAAATCCGGGAAAATATTAGAACATCCTTCTTTGAAGTGGCACCCAAACCATCAAATCTAAGATGGTTTCTTTACACAAAAGTATGGGCAAAGAGTCACACAAAGGGGTCCCTGATCCGCTTTGATGTGACTGTTTTGGGGGTCGCTTTAATGAGCAAGGCTGGGCAATACCAGAATAGATTTGGCAATGCTAAATTAAGTACTGGGAGTTTGAGTATAAGCCTTGGCAATAGTAAATTTAGACTTGGCAATACTAAATTTGCCAATCGGCAAGTCGAAGTCGAACCCAGATTCGCTCAGGGACTGGTTCCTATGGCGAGTTTAGAGCCGGCAAGCCATGGAAGCTTTTCAACCAATGCTCCTTGGAAATAAATCCGATGGACAAAACGTACGGCTGGAGGAACAATCCGGATCCCGAAGTGAAGGCCGGAGGTGATCCCAGCCAGGTCCTCCAGTATAGAATAAGGGTGCTCCTTTCCTGCAGTCTATTTTAGTAGGGGAACCCTCCCACAAAAAGGGTAAAAGGGCATCATTACTCGGGGACCTAGCCAGTACTCCTCTGAGCTCCATGAGCTCCGTGGTGCGGGAAATGTATCACAGTAGAAGGGGTTCATGGGCTTGTACATGTCCGCGTGCGAATTGTGATCATCACCTTTGGCATCCGCTTGGGAAAATGAAGCACCATATGGGTTATGTACCTCCATTTGCTTCAGTCTCCTGGAAAACATAGAAACAGATGTCCAATAGTGATAGATTCCCTTTGAGACCAACAGGCAATACGACAAATATCATTAAGACAACAAACAAACTGGCGCACCGAGGCTACTTCCTTTCTTGGTCTCCCAATGTGACCCAGCCCTCAAATTGACTTCAAGGGGACCACCCAAAGGGTGGCTCCAACTATGTGGCCATGGGTCAAAAGCCCATACCCCCAGTGAACATCCCAATCCCCACTAAACTAGGTTCTCAAATGGGTGGCGCGCCTACCAACCAAAATGGTACCATTGGTTTTGACCCACAGCCATGCGAAGCCCCGAACCAAAAATGGCTGGCTTCCCTTTCGAAAGGGGCCCAGCCTTCTGGTCGGCTAGGTTTGACAACCCCCCGGCAAAACGGCAAAATGGGTGTGTCGTTGTTTGAGGCTACCCCTTGTTTGTGGTTTAAACGTGCAACCAAGAGATCAACCGCTATTTTATGTTAAGGGGGTCCCCGCAACAAAGGACAGCCCCCCGCACATAGATCTGGACTTTGCGTCTTCGCCTGCTGCCAGAGGCTGTGCCGCGCGAAGGCCGCGAGCACAGCGGTGCCATCCTCCCAAAAAAGCAACCATTGTGTACTGGGCTGTCTTCGGATCCCCTGCTAAGGTTACTAGGTCCTCCCGTACAGAGGCTTGAATAAGGGTACCCTGTTTTGCTGTAGTCTAGGAACCCTCCCCCAAAAAAGGGTAAAAGGGCACTACTGGGGGACCTAGGCCACCAAACCCTAAACGGCTACAAAGCTAAGGGGACCTGCCAAAAGTTTCACTTTCAGTGGATTAAATAGGGACACCCAACCACTAAATCATGAAAGGCTGCAAAGCTAAGGGGATGGCTGGCAACCATTTCAGCCCGACCTTTGGGGCCACTAGATCTCGGCAAGGTGCAAGGGAGACCCTGACATCTGGAAAACGGGTTTGAATGCGATGTTTGTGGATTTCAACTGTTCTTCCCCCGTGTCGGCTCTGTTTTTGTATTCGTTTGGTGCTCCTTTAATAGCCTAAAGAGGTGGGTCCACAAAAGCCACATCCAAACCGTTTTGTAGTTTCCAAACCCAGCCATGGATGCGCCTGAAAGTCAAATAGGGTCATGCAAAACAATATGCAATCAGTTTTCATCCATCCTCTTTGGGATTGTTTTACTCATCTGCCAAGCCGAGAACAAACGGAACACTACAAAACTAACAACCTGAACGTTCAGAATCCGTAGACCAAACTGTAAAGGTTTACAAGCTCACCTCGCTACAGACAACTCGACAACCTGAACCTCGCCAACCACCCGGGGCGAAGTTGCAGTAGAATTCCTGTGAAGCCAGTGGGTAGGGGCCAGAAAGGGGCATGAAGGTCCATGACCGTGGCTCTGAATCAATGGAACTTGGTTTCCTGTGTGTTTTGTTTTTTCCCGGGCAACTAGGGGTACTTTGGTGGGCTTTGTGTGTTGACTCTGTCATCTAATGACTATCAATTTGCTGAACCCCCCCGCAAAATAGCAAAACTATGTCCACTAGTGATAGATTCTCTTTGAACCAGGGACCATAACAAACATTCTGAAACGCACATGAGCATGTCTTGGAGTACGGGACCCTACAACTGGGTGCTGTAGATCCTCCAGCAAAAAGTTTAACTTTCTGCAGGTTGAAAGGACATATGAGGCGTATCCAAAAAGTTAAAGTCTAAAGATCCAACCCAATAGCAGTAGACAACTGGTGCTTTTCCTTCCCCCCGCACACATGAGCCGCACCCAACTCGATGCCTTGGCTCGCCGTACTACCCCGGGCTGCAGGAGTCCATGTGCAGCCTATCGGCGAAGCTCTTCGAACCGAAGAGCGATGCCAGGTGGACATGACTACCTCAGTTGTTCAGTGACCCTGGAAAAAAAGGGAACCCTTTTTGGGGAAGACCATTTTTAGTGGGGCAGTCACCAAACAAATGGAAAAAGGGTGCCACTGAACAACTGAGGTACTGTTGACCCCCACGTGCGTCATAATCAGAACCCGGTATTTAAATGGTCGTCATCCCAGAACCATGCTATTTATGGCTGGGATTGTACCGTTCTAACCTTCATCTGACCGCGTTTTGATTGTGGCTCACGTTACTAACCCCCTGGGTTGCTTTTGATTGGGGGGGGGGGGGCTTTAATTACGGGAATCCTTCACTCTGGCGACAACCCCCTAAGCCGTATTCATCCGGAGTCAGCATTAGGTACATGCAGAGGAAATAAACAACACTGATGACATGGACATACGCAGCATGGGTGCAATTATGTATATGCACATAATACGCCAATACTCAAGCTGCAAAGCCGATAGCTTCCAAAAACCGATACTCTGGTAAGTATCTGTTGCTAATGATAATTTGGATATGACTGTCGAAAAGGGGCTTATTGGGCCTCTCTCCACAGAGAGATATTTCAGTTTCCCATTAATTGGTGGCTTGCATCGGTGGTTTGGTGGTCAGGGCTGGTTTCCCGTTTATCCTCTACCAGAAGCAGGGGATCAAATCTCCAAGCCACCAATCCGAACCACCAACCAAGAGGCACCTGAATATTTGCATGCATAATGATCATTCAATGGATGCCATCCTGAGAGAGTTCAGGAAGCAACCTGACTTGCCCGCCGAGGCTTCTCAAGAAGCTCAGATCTGAGCAATGTCTGCATCTTCCACGCGCCCCTATTTTCACAGTGCCCCAATGCTGCAAGTTGCCCACGACGTTATCACAGCGTTTCGCGCTACATCCCCTGACCTAACTCCGCGTGCGCCGGCGCCGGAGGCTGTTTCGAGCTTCATCACTTCGCTCTGCGAGGGCCCGAAAGCATGGTTGGCCTCCTTTTGGATACCTTTGGGAAAACCAACCCCAAACAGGGTATCTGTTGGGAAAAAGGGCTCTTGGAGAAAGGCCAAACTTCCATTTGCTGAAGCCCCTGACAAAATATGAAAAAGATCCCAGCAGTCACAAATTCCTTTAAAAGCCAGAAAGGGGAGAATCAAACATATTCTTAACTAGGTCCTCCAGTAGAGAGGTTAGAATAAGGGTACCAACTTGTTTCTGTCTATTTTAGTAGGGGAACCTTCGCAACCAAAAAAGAAACGCCAAAAGTTGGCACCTAGCTGGGGCACCTAGGTTAAATCGATTTTCCCACCAAACCCTAAAAGGCTACAAAGCATCTTAAAACACTAAAAAAACAAAAACAACTTCTTAGGCAAAGCGGAGACAACTTGCAGCAGCACCTCCCCCCGCCTCTCGACTGCCGCGTCGCAGCTCCGCGAGCAGCTGGCGACCTTCGCCTGGTAGGGCATGGATGTTTCTTCAAGACAAACAGGGGGCAACAAAGAAAGCAGGCAACGGGCGTTTCTGGAAAAGGGTTTTTATCCACCCGAACCCTGCAAGAACGACCGTTCAAGAATGGGCGTCGAAACCTCCAGGTCGCCATGGTGACCACTTAGTAGGCCCTTCCTACAAACATGGCACCTGAGGGGAGGTACCTGGAAGAATCATTTCCTTTCGAAGGGAGCCTTGTCAGTTGCCATGTTAGTGGGGGGAGGGTAAATCAAAGGTGCTGCCCTGCTGCTACCAGGTGGTTTCGCAAAGCTCGTGTTTGAAAGAAAACCTTCGCATTTGAATGGTAGTTTGAGGGTCGGGCGCGCGCTAGTCAACTTTGAAGGGAAACCCACGCAAAACAAGGTTCCCCCCGTTTTCAGGCCCCTTCTGCAGCGGCCTTTGTTAGACCCTATTGTTTGGCCCCCTACTGCTAATCTATCCACTGGAGAAACAGTGGCCCATGGATGTGGGCCTACGCATCACCTGGCCGAGATGGGGTTTCTGTGAGCGACTCCGCTCGGGTTTCGTCCCATCCAAAGCTCCGGAAGCAAGTTACGCGCAGCCGCTCCGCTCAGCGCAATATGGCATCATCACATCCAGCTGCAGCAGTGCTGTGTTTCGCTCCAGCTGTGGGTTTCGCTTTAGGGTTTAAATTTTAGGTCTTCGGGTGCAGTTTAGGGTTTCAAGTTTAGGGATCTGGTTCAAGGTTCAGGTGTAGGGTTTAGATGTAGGGCTCAGCTTGGGGTATACAACTTTGGGCTCAGACTCGTTGTCCAGGTTCCAGATTTCAGGTTTCGAGGTTCGGTTTTGGGATTAGGTCAGGAGTTTAGGTTTCGGGTTTAGGTTTAGGGCTTTAGCTTCGGTTGCGGGGCTTAGGTTTTAGGGCTTGGGTTTAGCAGGGATCCTTACATTCTACACCTGAACATTGCCTTGTAAATTGTGATTTCCCTTTGTTGTGGTGGAAAAAGCCATGTTTCAACTGGGGTTTGAGATTGCGCTTCGGCTGGGCGTCCAGATTCGGGGCGCGCAGCATGGGGAAAGCTGGGGCCTTTTGCAGCCCTGGTTTGGGTTGGAAAGGGCTGTCTCAGGTGCCCCTGATCGGGACCCAGAAAGAAAAGGTGATCACTTTTCGGGGCCACAAAAAATGGGCCAAACTAGGAAAACCCAAAGGTCCTTTCAGGTCGATTCGCTTTGGGCAAGTTGTCTCCCCTCTGGAAACCCACAGGGTTTGCCCCAGTCACAGGCCTTGAGCTATCTGGAACCCCCCAAAATGGTGGTCATCCTTTGGGTTTTCCTTCAACATCCAGACGAGGAGTGCCCCCCCAAACAAACCGACCAAAGCACATCTCAACTGGCGTGTTACATCCGCCCGCATGCCTGGCCCCGCGGCCATCCAAAGCCATGGAGGCTCGAGGCAGCTTATTTTCGGCCGGTCGAGTCACAAACGGAGCGCGAGGAAAGCCAAAATACTGGACAAACGAAGCGGGGATACGGGAGCGGGTCCCGATATGGGATTCCCTGATTGCCCTGGTTCCTGCTACTTGGTTTTCCTGAGCTATGGAAAATCAGATCCTCCTGATTCCCTGATTCCCTTGGTTCCCTAAACACCGAGCTATGGAAAATCTGATCCTAACCGCCCTGGATTTCTTCAATCGCCAGTTGCTTCGCGCAAGGTAACTCAAGAGCCAATGGCTGGGAAGTGGAAGCCGTTGCCCGGCACCAAGCGCGCGACGTCTTGTACTCAAAGTCACAGAAAAGCACACGGCTTGAAACTCATTTACCCAAAGGACCTGGAATTTTGGTGATCGCCTGTTGAATACTTTTCCAGATCATGGAAACCAACAGGTTAAACAAAAAAAAAAAGAAAAACGATGAAGATGGAAACCAAATCATGGAAACCGAAAGGGTCGGCTTTGGGCAGATGAGTGCCAACTCCGCTTTCCCCACTCCGCGTTTTTTGGTGGTCAAAAGGTCGGGCAACCAACCAAAATGGCTTGCCCGTTCGGTATATGGAAACAAAGACATTTACCCTGCGGTCCATATCCTGGTGAAATGTTGACCACCCATATCAACCAAATTGGGATTGATGAATGACAGGAGTTGCTGCACACGACGCGGCCAAACCTCGGGGCTGCAAATGGCGAACAAAACCCAACGAATGGTCGTTCTTAAATGGTCTTGAGTCGGTCACCCGAACGTGGGCTTGATTCAAAACGAAGGCAAGAGAAGCTTCTGAGAAACTGGGCAAAGCTCAGGTCAGCTTTTGGAGGTGACAATATAGATTCCACTAGAGAAAGGTGACTCAGGTCCAGACAAGTGGCCCCACTCAGGGTTGTTTGTTCTGACGGCACAAGGGAGACAATCGGCCTACCATTGCTCCCATTGATTGGGTGGCAACCATAGGGCAAAATCGTGCTCCCGCCAATAAGCTTTTTGCGTAAGTTCACATTCTGTCAAGAAGCCCGCCTTTTCGTTGCACCATCTCTCACTTGCGATCGAGACGACCAAAAATAAATTGGACTTTTGTTTGCCATTAAAATGGTCTTCCAACACACATAAAGTCCACGAACTCAGGCATATCGTGTGATTGCCCTGCATCAGTTGGCCCCTGTGTGTCTCTCACGCTTTCCCTAGCGTCACCACGCGCGGTGGACACATTGCCAAAGTTCACCGAAAAGAGCGTCTGCCCGACCAACAAACAGCTTCTTCCTTGCTTGACAACTAAATCATTGTCTACCCAGCACTCTCTTTTGGGACAGTACTCAGGATTTTGGAGATAGGACATCACAATTGTTTGGGGGTGCTGGACAGCGTGTCTATTCTCTTGCGCAGCAAACCAGCATCTTCCATTTGTTTGGACAAACGAACAAGCGGGGATACGGAGGGAGCGGGGATATATGGGGTGATTCCCTTGGGGCCATTTCCTATCAAACTTAGTCAAGGTGCATTTAGGGGGAATCCTCCCGTATCCCTTCGTCCCCCTGTATCCCTGCTAGTTGGTTTCCCTGATTTCTTACGCTTACTCCGAGTTTGTCGCAACGCAAAGCGATGGCCGCCCTTTTCACACGAAGGGCCACGTGATGATGGGCCGGCTTCTAATCATCAAGCCAGCCCAGGACCTACGAAAGCTCCGGACTTGATTGATGTTCAACCCAGAACCTAACCTCAGGCATTGAATCTGGGCTCAAACATAGAGGCCCAAAACAGAACCCTGGTAAATGGAGAAGTAGACGAAAACCTGTGTAACCTCAAGCCACACCCAAATAGCTTTGTCTGAAACTGGGAAGCACCCACTAGATGGCCCAAACATAAAGCAACCCAAAACAAGTTGGTACCTCAAAGATAACCCATATGGGTGGCTTGTTCTTTCTTTAGGCTGGAGCTCCCGAAATGACGCAACGGTGTTCCTTCTTGGTGTTCCTGTAAAACCAACCAAAAAAGGGAGCCTTGAAGAACAGACCTCTATGTTCGTTGTTCATGTTGAGGTCAATGGTCCGAAACGTTGAGCCAGCTTACATACCTCAAAGGGATATACGAAGAAGTGTGTAAGTTTGCCGTGGATGGCTCCTGCACAACCAAATTACAACTTAGATCTGTTTCCACCGGTTAGTTTGAGTATGGAAAGGTTTGCTCGGCATGTGTTTTATTTGTTGGCTTCGCCAAAAACGTAAACCAACGTTGGTGAATCGACTTGCCACCAGCTCCAAACCCAAGAAAGGCCTCATCAATTTATCCACATCACCCACCAAGTAGTTGAATGGGAAAGAAGCCCAGTGGCTGACTTGGAACAATGTCGCACTCGATTGAACAGCACAAGTTCCCTTGGATCAAGGACACACCCATGGCATATGATTTAATGACGGCATGTCTATATTAAATAGTTGAACATTGCAACTTGAACGGGAGTGCCTTTTTAGAGAGTACCCTTTTTGTGGTTTGAAGGGATCACCAAAAGAAAAGCAACATTCCGAGGGGCCCCTTGGAAATACAAACTCGAATGAGAGTCATACCCGTGTCGAAAGGACGATCAGATTCCATGAGTGGCTGGCATTTGAGAAGGGCGTCCAGGGGGAAACCAAAAGGGGGAAAAAACTGGCGAGAGTAAAACCAGCAGTAGGTTCCATCTCTAACTCAACAGGGGAAGACATGAGAAGATATTTCCAGGAGTGAAATCGATTCCATATACCAACAAAGGACAATCTCACCTGCCCAAAGGACCTGGACATTTAAAAGCTGAACCTTCTGGGGCCTTTACTAAAAAAATGGACCAGAATGGAAACAGACAGCAGCTGGGACCTTTAAGAGAATGGACCACAATGGAACACTGAAAAAGGTTGTTTCAGGTGGTTTTCATTTTTAAATGGGCTAGCCACAGACACCCCGGCGAGAATGGGCAAAACGCCACGGATCTTCTGGGAAATCCAAATCTGGGCTGTCCGTTTTTCTGATGCCCTGCGAAAAGTGACGAACTCTTACTGGGTTAAATACGGAAATCCAGACACTAAAAACTAAACATATCTAAACAGCTAAGGAACCGGATGGCTGCGAACCACCAGGAACAAATGTCTATTTTACTTGGTTGGGTTGATTTCAATATGCGTCGCGTTTCATCAATCGTAGTTGAGCGAATTGCATGTTGTCCATCCACAGTAGGATTTACTTGATTGCTAGGTGGGTCCAACAGCAACTCCTTGATTTCGGAAAACAAAGTTCAAGTCCAAAAATCCAGTCAGATAGCCAGGACGTTTAGTCTTTCCCAAGAAGGGGGGGGTGTTTGGGGGAGGGGCGGTTTGGAGCCTTGGGGGTCCCGGTCTCCTTCAGGTAGGCGTAAAGTCCAACTCAGAAAGTGAGGCAAGGATTTATGATGGATGTGCCAAGTGCCAAGTCTGCAACATTTGGCTGCGGGTCAAAAATTGGGTAACCAATGACTAAAACCCGTGGTCTCCTGGTGGTTTAATTTTGACCCATACCCATTTGGTTCTTGCGCATCTTTACGGTAGATGTGCAACGGAACTGCTTTCTGCGCTGTCTCGAATTGGATAGGCATGGCGCCAAATGGCGCCAACACAAATGACTGCGCGAAACATGTTCATTTAGGAACAGCGCAGCTAGGGATATTGAACACATCTGGCCCGAGAGGTGGACATCCAGGGTTTTGTCTCACCATGAGGGCGCCAGCAAAAGAAACGGCGGTTTCCCAGCCAAAGACCTTTTTGAGCGGCGCAGCTTACAGCCAAAGTCTGCTCTCCAGCTCAAAGCACTTGGCCAGCGCCCTCTCACACCTCTCCATAGCTTTAGCTGAAGAGCCAAGGGAACCGAGCCGGTGACCTCGAGTAACATCCACTGGGCCCAATGAGACTCAAAGGGGCACCTGGCGTTGAAGCTGCTGGAAGCTTTGGGGGAGACCCCAGAGAGTTTTGCTCTGGCTCGGAGGTCAGAGTTCCGGGTCAGGGTTCCGGGGTTGGGAATATTCACCATTGGATATTGGGACCCCCGGATTCAGGGAATCACTTTTGGGGGAAGAAGGCTGCTTGGCCGTGGCTTAAACAACCGGAATTCCAAAATGGGTTGCCCTGGTAAGTGGAACCATGGACCAAAACCCGCGGTTTGCCCCTCACATCGTTTCATTTTGAGCCAGGGGGGGGGGGAATTTTGGTGTTCAGGAATCACTTTTGGGCGGAAGAAGGCCACTTCAATCCCGGGCCTCCCATCCAGCCCGCCGGGCCGCCCGGGGCTTCGGGCCACACATACTGCGGGCCCCAGAGGAAGCAGGCGCCCAAGCCGCTGAGAAAGCCCCCCACGTGCGCGGCCAGGTCCACCTCTTCAGTAGCTCAGTTCTTTAGTGACCCTGGGAAAAACAGGGAACCCTTTTTGGGGCTTGGACCATTTTTAGTGGGGCAGTCACCAAAACGAAAACGGAAAAATAAATGGTGCCACTGAACAACTGAGGTAGGGTTTTGGTTGCACGAACCGTTTTTGAAAGAGTCGCGAAAGGAAAACCAAATCGGATTCCCTTTCTCATTCTGATATGAGGTTGCACTGCGAACATTTGCTTCTCCCTCCCAACTAGCCGCTGGGATAACAGTCCCAAGGATTTGATGAGAATCCCAGGGAACCCCTTGGCCTTGTAATTGTTTGGGATTGCCATTGAAACAGAAAGGGACTATTGCCCAGGGCTTGGGGCAAAACATAAAATCTCCCGCGCAACTTGCCCTCAGAGCCCAAGTACCTACCGGAGGTTGTAATTCGAGTTTCTACATCCTCAGAAAGGTACCTAGGGACCCGGGGTTCTTTGGGACCATCAAAACCAAGTGGGGTAACACCCAAAGAACTTGGCCCTATTCCGAATTGAAAAGAGTGACTTGCAACCGTCCAGGGGTTCCCTGGGTTTGCCATTAAAGCAATGGGTTCAGAGAAAAACCAAAGACACCATTGCTTACCCATGCATCTAGGTCCTTGGTAGTATCTTGAGGGGTTGA